GTGAGCATGCCAGTGTGTGTGTGCATGAGTGTGCATGTGAGCATGCCAGTGTGTGTGTGCATGAGTGTGCATGTGAGCATGCCAGTGTGTGTGTGTGTGTGGATGAGTGTGCATGTGAGCATGCCAGTGTGTGTGTGTGGATGAGTGTGCATGTGAGCGTGCCAGTGTGTGTGTGTGTGTGGATGAGTGTGCATGTGAGCGTGCCAGTGTGTGTGTGCATGAGTGTGCATGTGAGCGTGCCAGTGTGTGTGTGTGTGGATGAGTGTGCATGTGAGCGTGCCAGTGTGTGTGTGCATGAGTGTGCATGTGAGCGTGCCAGTGTGTGTGTGTGTGTGTGGATGAGTGTGCATGTGAGCGTGCCAGTGTGTGTGTGCATGAGTGTGCATGTGAGCGTGCCAGTGTGTGTGTGCGCATGAGTGTGCATGTGAGCGTGCCAGTGTGTGTGTGCGCATGAGTGTGCATGTGAGCGTGCCCGTGTGTGTGTGCATGAGTGTGCATGTGAGCGTGCCCGTGTGTGTGTGCGCAAGAGAGTGCATGTGAGCGTGCCAGTGTGTGTGTGCATGGTGTGCATGTGAGCGTGCCAGTGTGTGTGTGCATGTGAGCACACTCAGTGGATTACAGAAGACTTGAACAGTTGGGCCACAGGCGATGTGGCCTGGGGATTGGCATTCGGGATTGTGAGTTTGTATATGCTTGTATATGAGCATGATTGCAGCAGTGTGTGTGCTTGTGTATGAGCGTGAGTGTGCCAGTGTGTTTGTACGAATACAAGTGCCTGGCATAAGTTTGCCAGTCTGTGAGCGTGAGTGTGCTTGTTTATGTGCATAGATCCATCCAAGTGCCCAGTTCGACTAGAGCAAGCACTTTCTGGTTGGTTCTGACCCAGTGGCTCATATTTCAGATGCTTTGTCCCATCTAGCTGAACTTGACCCACCTGCCTGTGGGACTACTCTCCATCTGATGTGTTTAATAAATCGAATAAACAAAAAAATCACTGAATGAGCTTCACTCATTTGGGATGAATGTCTTACACTGTGCCTAAAGGGATTGCTTCAGTAAAGCCTCTTTTAAAATATTGTCTGGAGTTTTGCTTGCCAGAAGGAGATGGCAACCAAAGATGGCAACCTGTTTCTTCTGAGAGAAACAAACAGGAAACATAGAGGTGTTGCAGTAAGTGGGCATTTCCTGAGGCTGATGTCAGCGGTGCCTGCAAGTTTCCATCAGCCCCTTGCATATCACACCCACAAGTTAAAATGAATGTGTAAAATGGTTTTCGTGTGCTGTAGTGTCAGGCTTGCCCCAGCTGGAAAGTGGTGGAGCGAACTGGCATTTACTGTGGTAGCTGGCCACACATCTTCCATACATCTGTCACTCAGTGCTCGTTAACACATGCATGTTCCAACCGGAAACCTACATCACCTGCAGACAACTGACATCTTTCCACATCAGGTGGTGCAGGATAACTAAATGCTGCTCTGTCTCTGCTCAGGGCTCTGTTATAAGTTTGGGCCCCGAGCCTTACAAATCTTGAGCTTGTTCTTTAACTGAGGAAAAAAAATGTAAATGTAAGCGTGCATGTGCTTGTGTATGAGTGTAAGTGTGCCAGTGTGCATGTGTATGGACATGAGTATGCCAGTGCTTATGCTTGTGTTTGAATATGAATGTGCCGGTGTCTGTGCTTGTGTTTGAGCATAAGTCTACCAGTGTGTGAGCTTGTGTATGAGCATAAGTGTGCTTGTTTATGTGTATGTGCATGGATCCATCCAGGGTGTAGCCCCACCTCAAACCTCATGCCTGCCCAGTTTGACTAGAGCAAGCACTTTCTAGTTGGTTCTGACCCAGTGGCTAAGACTCAGGACATGGAGAAAAACTATTTCAGCAGCTGCGACTCATCCATCTGAACTTGACCCTACAGACTGAGAGGGTACTCTCCGTGTGATGTGGTTAATAAATCGAATAAACAAGAAAATCACTAAACGTACAGATCCAGCCATTCAAAATGAATTGAATGACCCCGGTGGGCGTTGCATCAAAACGCAGTATCACGCGGTATATCCCTTCATTTATCCGGAATCACCTTGTAAAACCGCCAGGAGGAGCCAATAAAGCTTAACCTCTCATGTACAGCATTTGAGCTTTTAAATTTAAACTGTGTATTACAGCATGTTAATCATCAGTCATTTAAAAAGTTGGTATATTTTATGAAAGCAAGATTGCTCAGTTGGACAAAAGTATACAACCTACAGATGCAGCCATTCAAAATGCGCGGTACAGACACGTACCGGAGGTAATTGGCTACGGCGTCGCGCATTGTGACGCACGATGACGTGCGGTACCGCGGTACGTGATTGGTTGACCGACAGGGGCACTCGTGGTCCATTGGTCTGTCATAGAAAGATTTACAGTAAACGTCTTTACTGTGCCCGTTTTAGTATTGAATATTTATATGGAATTTTACCACTGAAGGGAAATCTTAGTTGCTGAGCAGAAAAAGAATAGGAGCATACTGTAACGCGTGTGAAGGCCACCAGTATTCCATTTCTCCCTAAACATTTTAAGCATCAAAGTCTTTAACTAACGAGATACCGGAGTCAACAAGCATACTTTTAGAATTTGATTAAAAGGGAATATAATATGGAATCGCGTATCTAAAGAAATTAATAACGATATAATTATATTCATGTGTTGCGGTGGTGTGTATTTTTTCTTTAAAGTACCGAGACCAGCCATATACTGTATGTTTATGTTCCAAAATTAATATCGTTTATGGCCTTCACATGCGTTACAGTATGCTCCTATTCTTTTTCTGCTCAGCTACTAAGATTTCCCTTCAGTGGTAAAATTCCATATAAATATTCAATACTAAAACGGACACAGTAAAGACATTTAAATCTTTCTACGACCGACCAACAAGTGCCCCTGTCGGTCAACCAATCACGTACCGCGGTATTTTGCATTTCGCGCGCAAGGCTGTAGCCAATTACCTCCAGTACGTGTCTGTACCGCGCACTTTGAATGGCTGCATCTGTACTTCACTCACCTGGGATGAACATCTTACATTGTGGCTGAAGGGATGCTCCAGGAAAGCCTCATTCCGAATATTGTAGTGGCCTCTATTAATTAATAATATCACTTAAGAGTACTTTAAAATATATATAAATGCAAGGAATTGTTATTAACAGTGCCAAAATAGCTGTTTTTGTTAGGAAAAACTCATACAAAATCTGTGTATAAGATTATGTCATATTTAATGTTTATTACACAATTATTTATTGTATTTGATTTTTTACCTCTCTGGGCATCAATATACTTTACGCTGTGCAACAAACACTTGACTTTTTGATAGAATGTTATCACGTTTGATAACCTGTAATTATGTGGTAGATGATTCGAAGGAGAAAGTTTATGATGAGAATCACTCTTGGCATTGCAGTAGTGAAAGCAGAGAAGTGTTCGAGATTCTGTCAGAGTCTCATATATTTTTTGTTTTCCCTGCTCAATCTCAGATTTGCAGGACATTTTCTTTGGTCTTTCACAGATAAACAAGGCTATTACATTAGAATAGTTTTAAGTCTTTCTTCAATTAAAAAAAAGGACTAAGCTTCATTTCTTTAAATACTCCATCCATCCGTTTTCTGTCTGGTTGCTGTCTGAGTCCCAGTAAGCAATGGGCTCAAGGTGGGGTACACCCTGGGCAGGATGGTGGTCTATCACAGGGCACACACTTGGAATGCACACACATGCCCACACACACAAACACACACACCAGGGCCAATTTTTTCAGCAACCAATGAACCTTCCAGTATGTCTTTGGGCTGGGGGAAATTGGGGGGACCCACATGAAGTCCATGCAAACACGGGACGAACACACTAGCACGAGTGTGAGAGTGCCAGTGTGTGCAGTGTTTGTGCAGTGTTTGTGCAGTATATGAAGGTAAGTGTGCATGACAGTGTGTGCTGGCATATGTGAATCACGGTGTAGCCCCACCCCAAAACTCATGCCTGCCCAGTTCGACTAGAGCGTGACATTGTTAGGTGGTTCTGACCCAGTGGCTCAGACACAGGACACGGATAAAAAACATTTCAACTTACTATTCTGCAGTAAGTTGTTGTGTCTCATCATCTGAATTTGACCTACCAGTCTGTGGGGCTATTCTCTATGTGGTTAATAAATCAAATAAAATCACTGAACGTGCTTCACTCACCTGGGATGAATGTCTTACACTGAGGCTAAAGGGATGCTTTAGTAAAGCCTCATTTTAATGTTGAACCTCGGACAACATTCGATGACAAAAATAGGGAAGAACAGAAATTCTGAAGGGGAGTTTTTCATGGAACTGTACATCCACACGTGCTTTGGATTCGGACTCTGAGCTTCTCTCAGTCCCAGAGTACTCGCGCCCTGAGCTTAGAAGAGATACAGAGGACTCCGCTCATTGCTGCCCACGGCAGCCAGGGCTCAGCAACGCCACCAAGTAGCAGACATTAGGTGTGTTTGTCAGTCAACCAACCTGGCTCAGTGGAGAGACGCGAGTTAGAAGAGACATGCAGCACTTTCACTGGCAAAAATACGGTTGATAATTGGCCAAGAGGTCACAAGGGGGAGTGGGTCGCCACGCCCTGCAGGTCCGTGATTGGTTCAGTTCAGTTCGGTTTATGTGCATATGCACAAGTGCAAGGACAGGCTTATTTGCATATGTGCTCCCATACAAAGATATTAAAGGAATTCCCCAAACCGCAAACAGAACAGCAACAGCAAACAACAAGTTAAATAACATACAACTCAAAAAAGTCAGACTCACAGAAAAGCACTGTGAGAAAAAAAACACATCAGTGTGAGCCAGTGGTAGGAGTAAAGTTCAGTAATCTGACAGCTTGTGGGAGGGAACAGTCTGTAACAGGCCACCTAGTAAAGTAAAACTAACTGGCCTTCTTGCCACAGTTCTTTTTCCTTTTCATGTACTTTGTGTCTTTTTCTTTACTACTAAAGTATATACAGCTTGCTCGTGCTTGGTAAAAACTTTATTATTACTATTATTATTAATAATTATTGGTACACTGGGTGATTACCACCTGAGGAAATGAAACTGAAAGTGTTGAGATTTTGCAGTAAGTTTCGGTTTCCTAAGGATGACATCAGCAGTACCTCTGGGTTTATATTGACTGCAGTCCCTCGTGAGTCACACAGCCTCACTTCACTGGAGAAAGAGCAGAAGCATGAAGAGAGGAGGAAGACAGCAGCCAGGCGGAGTGAATGACATGGATCTGTCCAGGGAGCCGCAGGAGACTCGCACCCTGAGCTTAAAGCAACTGCATGGGTCTCTGCCCACAGCAGCCCACCTGGTGGTCCAGCAGTGCCCACTGCACGGCCAGCTCTTGCAGAGCTACTGCCTCACCGACAGGGCCTGCGTCTGCCAGACTTGCGCTGCCGGCGTCCTACACTGCCACCATGAGGTCGTGAGCGTCCAGGAAGCACAGACACGCCTGGGGCTGCTGCTCTCGGTACGGCGGAGTGACCTTGACCTTGACCACCGGGCAGGACTCTGCAGGGCGCGGGCGGAGAGGGCGAGGGAGAGCAAGGAGGCCGTGAGGGCTGCCAACCGCCAGCTAAGAGAGAGCGCTACCACCCAGCTGGATGCAGCCATCACAGCTCTGGGGCAGTACAAGGTTGAAGTGCTGGCCGCCATCGAGGAGGAGCACCGGAGGATGGAGGATAATGTCCAGGAGAACCTGCAGACGCTAGCGAACCAGGAGGAAGTGGTCCAGACAGCCCAGCACTCGGTCGAGCAGGCGCTGGCCCAGACTGACCCCTTCCTCTTCGCCTGGGGGTTCTCCGCTGTGGAACGTGCGCTGAAGGAGGCAGAGGGGCTGAACCTCGGTCCCGCTGTAGAGCAGCCGCCCCAGATGGACAGGGCTCGTCTGCGGAAGCGGCTGGACAGGAGGGGCGCCCGCATGCAGGAGCAGTGGACTCAGCTTCAGAGCTCCCTCATTTCTCTGGTGGATCCCCAATCTACCTGCAGGGCAGTGGTGGCAGCTGCGCCCCCAACACCCCCAACACCCCTCACTCCCCCCGCAACCCAGCACCTTGTTACTGAGCTAACCCTGCGTCAGACAATACCCCCTGGAGTATTTACCATCTCATGCGATTTGAAAAGTGCGTCCCTTAACGTGAAGATCCACCGGGCCCAGACAGTCAACCGCCCCACGGTTCTGGCTGAGAAGTTCTTTCCCGGGTCCGGTGGGATGCTGTGCTGGCAGGTGAAACTCCATGACGACTGTGACTGGACGGTCGGGGTGTTCTGCGCCTACATCACAAACGGATACGGGCTGCGGTACTCAAACTCACAGTACAAATGTGTGAGTCCAGCTGGGATTCAGCTCCTGAAGAAGGTCAGTTACAGGCCAGCTGAGGAGGTCTTGGAAGTGCGTCTGGACCAGAAATCAGGCCGACTTTCTTTCTACACTGTGAGATGGAAGTTCGGCCCTCAAATCCTCGCAGAGCTAACGATATCAGACACACACAAGCGGTTGCCTGTGATTCCTTACTTCACCCTGGAGAAGAGCGATGCCGATATTCTGAGTCCCTTCTGTGAACTGCAGTGGTGACCCCTTCAGCAGCCTGAAACACAGGGACCAGCTCTTACTCGCTCCAGGTGCTGCCCAGTGTGAAAGAGCAGGTCTGCCACTTCTTGTCTTCGCCTTCTGTATATTCAGTCTTCGGTTTTTGTAATCTGAACCCCCTGCCAGTCATTTGTGTATGGTTGTAATGTTAGATTGACAGCATTAACTCAATGGTGCTTTTTGTACTTTAACCCTATGAATATCATGTAACAGGAAGTATTGTTAGTAATGAGCTTTAATCATATCAATCTGCTGCCATCGACTTGGCTCCTGCCTGAGAAAGCTTTGCCTATGAGTGAAAGTGTCTTTATTATTCAATCATATGGTGTTACGTAACTGTATTTTATATCATACTCTCAACCTCACGTTATTGATGAATGTTGTCGTTTACTAGCCTAGCCTGACATTTATAGTAGTGACGTAGTTAATATATTTTATTATGTGTAGCCAAATATTTTCAATAAAGTATAAGAGATACAAACTGTCTATGAATATTAGTAACTGAGTTTGATGTTGTATCTCTGAATTTCAAACTTACATGCCTCTTTATTGGCCATATACAATTTTTTGCATTAGGATTTTGTCTTTTTCACATGCTCATGGATAAGGCACTGCCCTCCTAAGCCTGGGATTGTGGGTTCGAGTCCCATCTGTGGCGTCTTGTTTTAAGAGCTCTGTGATGAGTGAACAACTCCTCCGTTTTCCTTTAAGAGCTGTTCCGTGCCTCTATAGCAATCTGCAGTTCACGCAAGATCAGAAAAAATAAAAAATATTTTTTTAGAGTTCACCGATCAGATGTCTTATAAAAACCAGTCTAAGGTGCTGTGTCCAGCTTAAAGTTTCCCCTAGAGGCGTGAGCTTGAATCCGACTCCTGCGAAGGAGCTTTTGTCATGCTGTCTTGTAGGACTGCAAATGAAAAAAATCACTAACGTGGGAAATGTTTTCACAACATCTCGCATTTCGCGTGTCAAACGTTCATGACCTGCTGCATTCTTTTAAAATCTCAAAAATAAAACTGGAATAACCGAGTCCGTAGATGTTAGTGCGTGAGAAGGAGCAGTACCGGTACCACGGCTGGAAACAGGTTTTACAGGCATTTCTGAAAATTATCAAAATCAAAGCCGAAGCCTGAAATAATCAAGAGAGAACGCTGTGTCCGTTACAAATCGGTTTGAATCCCACTCCTGAAACAGAGCTTTTCTCAGGTTGTCTCGTAAGACTACAAATGAACGAATCACCAAAGTACGTGGCAAATTTTTTTTTACAATATGCTTGGATTTGGATCTGCCTGTGTGCCTCACCAATACTTTTTCTCTTTGTTGCTGCTCCGAGTCCGTCTTTGAAATCCCACCTCGCACAAGTCCTTCTGGCTTGAGACCGTGACGTGTATTTCTGTGTCAGTGGATTCAAGCACAGAGGTCTTTTCAAGGAAACAAAGGGACAGTGGCGTAGGGTCGGTGAGGCTTTCTGTAGGAGTGTGGGTATGAAGTGGGAAACTGCTCGCAGTCCTGAGTGGGTACCCTCGCAAGCTCACCAGATAACAGGCGCGGTGTTGTTCGTGGTACCGTGTGATACTCATAGTTTTTTTCTGAAACAACAATCGAAAAATTGAACGTAAAATGTTGTCTG